GTTTAAAAAAAAGTAATTTTTGTCAAATTTATAGTTTCTCAAAAATCTAATTTTTTGAAGTAAATTTTTTTCAAAAACGTTAATCGTTTTAAAAAATAATAATTTTTGGTACGGAAAGTTTCAGCAATTTGCCTTAAGGCACGATGCCCTAATTGCCTTAAGACAGAATTCCACTTACAGCTAGTTTATTTAATATTTCTAGGACCACAGTCAAAAATAATTACACAATTGCTCCGAGTTTTCAAAAATTAAGACCTTTGCTTTAACTATAAATTTAAAATTTTTAAAATCGGTCGACATTGAGTGGCGCGTTTCTTTAAAAAAAAAGTACAAAAGTGTGCAGGCAATTTTCATCAAAAGTTGGCACATTTAATCAGCATTGTAAAATAGTAAAATACATGATTGATTCATAATAAATAATTTCAATTTGTAAGACAGTTATCACGTTGAGTTCTGAGATACCCCGTATAATGTTTCAATCCACAGTGATCTCAATGATAATTTTTTATCCCAGGGCTCAATTTATGCGTGAAATCCGTATTTTAAAAGAAAAAGGCAAACAGGACGAGTCAAAAGAACGTCAAGATACTGCCCTTTTGGCAGCTTTGAGGATTCAGAGAAATTGGCGCGGTTTTGCAGCCAGAAGACGCATCAGGCAGCGCAAAATTGATGAAATGCTTCTCATAGGAATGATACCGCCTTCGGAGAACGATGATCGAATTATAAATGAAGCAGAAAAGGTATTTGGATCTCAAATCTTCATTTTGTTCAATTATTTACCCAAAACATTTTTGAAGTAAAACTTCTTTAGGCGCGACATGGTGTGTAAAAACTTCATTAGGCGCGACACGGGTGTAAATCCGTACAAATGCAACGAAAACGCCGACGCTAGTAAGCGCAGCTATCGCAATTATTCGATTTAGTCTGCGAGCAAAACAAAAAATACATCAAATGTCAAATCATATGTCAAGAACAAAACAAAATGTGTCGACTTTCACTTGAGTTTTGTATTTAGCTCGTAGTCTCTAAACATTTTTTTGAAGTAAAACTTCTTTAGGCGCGACATGGGTTAGCAGTATAATTCGTGAGTTAATAAAAATGTCAGGATCGGCAAGATATTTTATCCCCCTCCCCCATAAATAATTGTAGTGCAAATGATCGCAAATAAATAATGAAACTGAGGAAAAATCTGCGCTGCGTAAGAAATGATAGCTTTGGCTATGTATGTTTTGTGTGTGATCGACTTTGGCTTCAAAGTGACTTAGAAATATCAAATGATGCTCAAAAACAAATTCTTAATAATGTTTTTGAATATTGATTAAATAATCAGGTTGATGCCAAACTTGTCGAAAGATATTAAATTCAGGTAAAATTCCCACTTTGTGTAAATTTAACGGGTTTGTATTTCCACCTATACCAAATTATCTACCTAAACTAGATACTGTATCTGAAAGGTTAATTTCACCTAGGTTGTGTTTCATGCAAATTAGACGATTGCGACATGCAAATGGACAATTTGGAATGTTTGGCCAAATTATAAATGTGCCTGTTGACATTAATAATATGGTTAATTTATTATCTCGTAATATTGATGATGATCATTGCATTAACGTTCACATAAAAAAGCAAATGATTCATAGATCAAGCTTGATAAATAAAACAAATATAAAAGTATGGCTTCAATTTGTTGGGCAAGACGGATAATACAGCTGTTCGAGGAATGAGATTATATCGTCAGCGAAAACGTAAAAAAATACAAACAGTAAATGAATGTATGTTAATTTTAATTACATGAAGTTCTTCAAACACAGTTGTTACAGGATGAGTTAATTTGCAAAAACAATATTTGTTTAGGCGTTGTTCAACATAATCCACTGTGTGAATGAATATTATAGAATTTATTAATCAGCAATTACTTTAAAACGATCATGTCATATTTCAAGTACGACTTTGATTACATTATTGTTTGTAAATATTATACATATTTTTAATGTAATCATAAATATATAATTTATAATTTATCATTATATAAATGTGTATAATGGTTGACTGACACTAATAAATGTGTGCATCACGAGTGTTACAATATTACTAATAAACATTATTCAAAATTTTTATATGATGTATTTATTTTTACTCAACTTCAATTTGCTACAATATAATTGCAAATAAGTTTTACATCAATCGCGTGTGATCCTTACGCGCACTCTTTTTTTTTTCTTATCAGGTTCGTCTAAAGAAAGTTGAGCTCCAAGATCTTTATCAGGCCGAATACGAAGCTGCTTTGGAAGACACAAAAAATCGCATTTTGCGCGAACAAGGCGAAGCCACCAAGGAAAGAATTTCTGATGAATTGAGAACCTGGTTCAAGGACACGCACACAAATTGCGGAAAATTACCAGAATTTCCATCTGAGGAACACGGTGGATCCAGATTGATATTCAGTAGACAAGGTAGTAATTTAAATACATGGATACAAGGTAACCCAGAACTCAACCATTTTAATTTTACAAGGTACTGAAAGTGAAATGAGCAAGTCCTTCTCCTCTCGTGATTCAAAGAAAAGCAGAGAGAAAACTAA